TGATGAGGACGTCTGACTTTCATGATCCCTCATGCACTTATAATAAAGACATTAAATGAGGATACAGGGAGATTCAAACGTGAAATATGCCAAAGCCTCACAGCCTCCATAACCAAGGGAATGGACCACAATGCGTGTATAAGAGGCAGTTCCCAGAAAGAGGAACACAGCAGGATTCCAGGCTATCAGTGGCTACAGAAAATCATAGAGTGCAGGATGTTAATCTATTACAGGATGGAACGCAGCACAAGAAAGGGACAGGGCATACAAGCGTGCATTTTTTGATCTCGCTATAACCGATTCATGGATTCAGTACAAGGAAGACAGCCAGCTATTATGAAGACCTGTGAAGCACAACCTTCAATGCCTGGATTTCAAACAGCTACTGGCAGAGAAAATGATTTCACAAGCACAAACAGATCTCAGGTACAGATGGGATGAGGACTGTTACTCCACTGAAAATGGGGCCACACCAGCCAATGCGAGCAGGTATGGTGCCACCCACCTGACTGAGATGATGGACGACAGGAATTCATGAAGGTGAAGAGCCGAATATAACTGCTTCACAAAATCTCATTCATGAATAGGGATGGCAAATTACCGTCAGGGTAATAAACACAACTCCTAGGTTATAACAGATGAAACACACTTGAATGACACCAAAACATCAAGAACCGAATGGCGGAATTCAACAATATGGCAACTCCTGCTTTATTGTGTCTTACTGTGCATTTCTTTGCTATATAAAGAACGTTAAAATTTTGACACGTTGCCTCAAACTAAAATTTGCCCGTTTCCTGTTCATTCCTTTCAAATGCTCTCCACAATAAACATTATATTATATATAGATATTAATTTTATTTAATTTTTTTTCTTCCAAAGGATGCAAATAAAAAACTAAATGTTAATTTACTGACTCAGAATGATATATAATAATGATGATAGATCTGGTTAACTGGGAAAATGATCCTGTCGACCTGATGCTAAAGGTGGCGCCGGGGGGCGCAGCCTTGCCTACGCTTAGGGACAGCTTGCTTTAAATTACTGGATCAAACGCGGGGGGGGGTGGCGGTGGCGGACATAAGCCAGCGCGACACACAACGACAATAAAAATGCAGATGAGCTGCTCGCATAACGGCAGCTCAACAAACGTTCGCGTAAATTCAGTTTATCGGCAGTTCATGTCAGATGCAGGATTAAGGCAACTCGTACAGTGACATGCGCTTCACAGTCCTTCATTAAAGATTATCAATCGACCACATACAGTTATTGATCTTTGTATATAACTCCCATATTAAAAAGTTCAGTAAAGACCAACATCTCAAATATCTACAGACCTCCTCAAAAAGTCCATATTTACTCACAACAATTCAGCGGTCGAGGGATGAAGTGAACATAACTAGGTGTCAAAAAGAGATATTTGTAAAAATTAAAATTTAAAAAACGGTTTTAATCTGTAGCGTGTACACCTGTTGGCCCACACAGATTATGGGGATCTTGCTGTAAGAACAACTATTTTTTTTAAATAATAATGATGCTGTTAAGTGTAGCTGCGCACAATCTTGCCCGGGAAACTGAACAGCGAAGCGTGCTGACCTGCGCTCCGGTTCTGCTGCTCGCCTTTCTCGGGCTCCGAGCCGGTCTCTTCCTCGCTGCCCTTTTCGGCCTCCGCGTCTTCGCCCCTCCGCCCAGCGCCGCCGTTCAGTCCCTCTTCCTCCTCCACGCCACTCCGGGATTCGGCGCATTCAACGCCCGCAGGTTCATCGCCGTCTTGGACTTCGGGGCACGGGGGTTCACTACCGGGAGAAGCAGTCACGCCGGTACGCGGTCCGGCGGCCTGGTGGTAAGCTGCCGCTTGGAGCTCAGGCTGATCATTACTTCGCTGCTGTTCCCGCCGAATATCCTCCGGAGGAGAACTTTCCACTAAAGCGCCCTCAGATTCCGGCTCCTGCTCGGGCTTCTTCTCGTGATCTTTGGCTGGGACCGGGAACAAGTCCTGCTCTGGTGATGCTTTGAGCAGCGACTCCGATGCTACCCCAGTGTGATCCGGCTTGGAATGAAAGCTTTCGACTGATATCTGCTGGGAAACCTTCTCCTGTCCCAGCACAGAGCTTGCGGGAAAGTCGGCTTTTAAAATTGCAGCTCCGGGAGCTCCGGTAGAGGTCAACTCCTCGGAAATCCCGGATCCGGGCATGGCCAGTCCGCCTACTTGAGTGAATCCCTCATTTGCTTTCACTGTCGGACTAACTTCCGCTACTCCAGTCGGCAGTTGCCGACTCGCTTCTGCTTCACTTTCGACCGCCAACACGGGCAGATCCATTACAGGATCTCCCTGCGTTTCCATCTCTTCTTCTTCTCCGACAGGCCTCTTCTCATCCTCGGTCTCGCCTGTCGCGCTGCCCTGCGACTCGGCTTCAATCGCGGACATTAGGCGCTCTACAAGGTCGGCCTTGAGCCCTTTCGAATCCAGGCCTCGTTCCTGGAGTTTGGCCCGTAAATCGGCCACTTTCAACTTTTTAATTTCAGCTAAATTCATTTTCAGTAGCACTCGTCTGCCCTATTCCTATATTTCCAGTCTCCCAAGCAATTCAACTGTTAGCTACGGCTAAGAAATCGATTATAGTCCGTAAATAACACAGCGTCACACGACACTGTACAGTAGTTTTGAGTTTACGCAGGTGTTTCTTTTCTGCTTTACTATTGGTGCCGCTCTTTTTAACTCCTCCCAATTATTCAAATAACTAAACACTATTGGCCTTTAAATTAAGGTCCCGCCCACAACCACTTCCTTTGGCTGGGCGGAATGCTGTAATTTGAACTGAGGACTGCCAATATAACAAACTTGGCTCCAAACTATGTTTTCTTTAATGCACGTCTATAAGACTTCTGCATAAATTAAACACCAGCTAAAAAATAGCCTGCATGCATTAAAAGTAGAACATGCAGACAAGTGATACCATCACCCTACAGCACAACCAAATAATTCACAGATAAATAACTACAAGTTTATGCCTTGTGGGTCAAGTTTATTACAGAAAAATAGATCAAATGCTAATCAAATCTAACAATATCGATGTAATACTCTCTTTACCTCCAGCTTGCAGTTCAGATATCTGTGCATCACTGCAATTAGGATACAATTCTGCAGAGCCTCATCATTGGTTCATAATTGAAAGAAAATGAATGTTATCTGAGTAAACAACACAGAATATCCCTGTAGTTGTCTTTTCATTCTCTATTACATAATTTTTTCACCAGTATTTAAAGCACTGCTTCGAGAAAGCTGCTTAGTGACTTCTTCAATTGCATCAACACAGATAGCGTCATAAAACCTTCACAGGTGAGAGAGTGTATGGTTACCTTTGGAGCATGTCCTAGAAAAGTGTTAAAGCATAAGAAAACAACATTTATAATATTACACCTGTTTTTTTTCTCTGTGACTGGAAACGTGTCAACAATTCAGGCTATAGGTGTGTGATATTTTGCAAATGAATAAGAAATTTATAATAAACAGTAACAAACAAGACATATATAAGCTCAGTTCTTTGTCATTTCAATGCAGAACAACACACAAATGTCAACTAAACACACATAAAAGACCCACTAAAGAGCTCCTGTGCTTTTGCAAACTGCCCCCTAGATAAAAACTCCAGGTGTCCCCTGTGGGTCTGGGTGTGGGACGCTGCTCTCCACAGTCGCACCCCCCAGGAGCAACTCCTTTTCCCTGGACAGGCAAGGCCCCCTGATCTTCTGGCTATGGGAGTGATAGAGGCGCAGGAAGGACAGCACAGCGTGGCTCAGCCAGAGGGCCGTGACACACCACAGGGAAGCCTGAGGGCCAGGAGAGACATGGAACAAGTTAAATGCATGCAGACCACCTACCCAAACATCGCAGACCACTCTGCACTCTGTCTTTGTAATGCACTATGAGCCTGTTTCTGTGAATTTTATTTACCTCTTCACTGCAGGCAAAAGATTTTCCCTCTTGGAGGGAAAGTAAAGTATTTTAACTTAACATATTTGTTTAATATATTGTGTTTGATGTGTAGCTAACCCATGAATTGTGGAAAAAACACGACAGTTCTGACCACAGAGGAAAGCTTTTTGCCCATATATTCCTGTATAAAGAACCTATTTCAGTACAATGCGATTTCAAGTTTTCAGTTTTCTAATTAAAGTTTAAGTATGTTCTGCATTATTTCTTATAATCTCCAAGAATAAACCCATCCATCTTTCATAACCTCTAACCCAGAATAGGGTCGCAGCCCTTACAGCTGTGGCAGGACTGGAAATTAAGGTCGCCCACTTGCCTGAAACGAGTAATTTAGACAAAGGGCAAATACAAAAAAAAAAACGAACACTAGCTGGCTGATTGGTAAAAAAAAAAATGCAGTTCCACCCCTGAGTTACAGCAATTTAGGCCTAGACATGGAGCCGCTGGTGATGGCGTTTATATGTGCGAATGTGTATTAAAAAGATTCAGCATCAGAGAGCAGAGATAAAAAGGGTTGCCGGTCTTAACGATGGACGTACCTGTGCAGTGGTGAGCTCGGTGTAGAAGGAGGACGTGTCGACATCCAGGTACATGGGAACGGACTGCGCTTCTGCACAGCTGGTGAGCAGCAAGGAAACACTAAGTTGGACGGATAATCTTTGTATATACGGTACTATAGCAATAAACCTGTAGGTTGTTTTATGCAAAAATTAACATTAACACTTTTTGAGGGATGCCAACTTTGGTCAGCTGGCTGGACTGAGATTTTCCATTAGAGGCTAATCTGCACACACATACACAGGCATTTACATGCATGTGACAGTTTTATAGCCATGTAAACAGTCTGTATTGTTTGCCAACTACATCAACGGTTTTCATGCAGCTGATTCAGGAAACATATAGATTTGAGGTAAGATATATAGTCCTAGTGTCACACCAGATAGCAACCCTGGTATAAATGATTTTTTTTATGCGGCGCTTTGGACAGATCAGTGTAAATCAGTATGGGGGCTGCGCTACCTGTAGGTGCGGGCGCCTCGGTCGGTCACGGTGTTACACCAAGAAAGCAGCCCCAGGGTGAAGGTGACGCTGGCTCCTCCGGACAGGAACAGTACGCACAGGCTCAGCAATACTGTGAGGAAAGCCGAGAACAGGGTGCTAGAGGGGAAAGAAAACAGCATTAACTTCACCACTTTTGTCCTGTTGGTCAAATGCAATATTTATACTCACTCGTCGTGTCGGCGATGGAGGTAAAATATGCTCCGCCAGCCCTGCGCCGCGCCGTACAGCACCGTAAACACCCCGACAAACGTGGGGAACTGGCACGCAGCGGACGGACCCCACTCCTGCACGATCAGCCGAGAGACCCACTCGGCCTTTTCTGCGCTCCCAGTTACATTCTCCGTCCTCCAGAACCCCTGACTGAATAGAACACAGCGTCCTTTAAAGTCAGATCCGTTCAGTGCCAGAGGGATGACCACCATCAAGCCGGCCAGTACGGAGAGGGTGTAGGCGGCGGAGTGAGCAAGCAGAAGTCGCCGATCGAGCTCCATGGCAGCTGGTCCTTCGGAAAGGAAAAACAAAAAATATCCAGAATCGAGCTTGCTTGGTTTAGTATGTTAACAAAACCGGGCGAATTAAAATCTTTATGTACAGTCGTTATTTTAAATGGATTGGGCTGTAATATTGCGCTATGCTCTAACTGTATAATGACTGACAGATTTAGCAGTGACGCACGAAGAGACGCAGCACGCAGACAGACCAGCCCTATACTGTAATCAGTAAGATATTATTCCCCCATTACTGTAATGCATTTCCAGCAAAACGTTTACTTAAATGCAAAATACATCCTTTTAAATCTGCTGTTTATTAAAAAAAAAAAAAACCCGGAGCGAACGACGAGGCGGTTCCGCAGACAGGGCGTGGCCCTGCAGCGGGAGGCAGATGCTGCACAATAGCCGATGGAGCCACCCGGATCCCCCCCGTGAATTTTCTCCCCCATCAAATACAGAGCAGGACTCATTTTTAGTTCCGAGGTAAAACCACGTCAAACCAAAACCAACAGATGCGTTTGTAAAATATAATGAAAATGTAATTAAAAGTATAATGGAAATACAATCGACAAAATATTATATTCAACACATTAATTACAAAATATGATCAAAAAGACTTTTAAAACTATATCAAATCAAATACTTTATCCTGATGCTCATATTGAGACCAAAACAGAAAGTAATTAAACTCACTATGGTACCAATATATCGCATTTTAATAGATGAAAAAGATTATTTGGCAACTCATTGTCATTATGTTGTGGATTTTCATTGAAATCAAATAAAACATTTTGCCTGGCCATATAGTAAAACACAGTTTACACGCTCAAATAAACCACCCTGAAATACACGCTCTTTGCAGGAGTTTGACATTGTCTGCGATTCTGTCTAATTTGCCCCTTCGGTTCTCTGATCAGTTTCACTTGCTGGTGTCAAACTTTCAAAACTCGCTTTGACAATACAGCTGTTTGCTAATATATTATTCCATTATTAGTCAAACAATCAACGCGGTCTCCCAGAGAACTCCGCTATATCACATGCATTGTTTTCTCTTTGACTCTCTCAGATCTCCCTTATGATAAGGGTAGCTCATATATCATTCTATTAGGCTGCCGTAGGTTACTTCCTGGGTTCTTCCATATTGTACCTGCTTATTCATACTCTTGTGTTCTCCCATCAGCTGGGCGCAGACCGGCAGTCTGCAAAAGAATGGACTCGTGTGTTTGGCATTATCAAGCGTGTTGACCAATCAGACCTGCAAACACTGCATCCCGATCACTCACCCCCAGTTGATGGTTTTCATGAAGAAATTATTTATATATTGTATATCGTTATTTCTAAACACTATCATGATTCGCAGTAACCGTGAGACACATGGATTTGAACCAGTTCACACAGTTCATATACGCCACACTCTGCGTTTCTCACGATGAGACGTACGTGTTAACGCCCACCAAGCTGTCCCGTTATATAGAATTAATGGACGATGCGCAGGCATACGGAGTGGAGTTTTCCGCCGAGTCCATAGCTGTCCCAAACGAGTTAGACTGCAAGCACGTTATTACATGAATGCGCACACAGATGGGGTGCAGACAAGGTGGAAATGGCCAAGCGAGATCCGATGAATGCGGTAGGCAGGGATTGACCGTGAGACACACGTTGCATTCCAAACTTTTGATGAAACTTCAGAGCCCATGACTATTTATCAATCCGGAGATACTACTTTTACATTCATTAAAAGGAATAGGGGAAAATTCAGTGCTCTCTGTACAATTTTTTTCCATTTTTGGTCTCATTTAATGCCATACATTTTATATTAAAAATATACAGTAAAATTACTGTCATTATTTTGTATATATCGTAAATACATTGCTTTAATGTGTTAGTAAAGTTGCACGTATGTATATCACAACTTTGTTCTTCAATATGTCAGTATAATTGGGCCTCTTTGTAAATTGTATGTATTTCATTTTATGCATCAAAAACCTTTCTAGACGGGATCCATAGGCTTCATCTTACTGCCCATAGGGTATATGGCGCAAAAAAGTTAAGATCCCCTCACCTAGAATTAGACATTTTATTGTATGCTCCAGTACAGTAGGTGGCAGCAAATTCTCTCTTTGTGGTTACAACTGCATTGAAACCAATCTCTCTGGAAGCATAGAGAAGACATTTTTATTCTTTTTCATGGTGAAAGCGGACGCATCTCCCCAAGTGAATAAACACAATATAGTCCTGATGTAAGTATACGCACGTGGCAAGCTTATCACGCGCCCGCCGTCCGTTTCCCTTAACAAAATACTCACGTTTTTCGTGGGCAGTTAATAAGCGCGGAAACTTTGCACACTATGATGCGCTATAGGGTTAATATTCACTCGAGCTTGCAAATTGCCTCTGAAGCGAAAGTCGATTGTGGATCGGCGACGTTTAACACACTAGGCGGCTCACGGGCGGAAAACGGGCGCAGATCCGCATCCCGGGGGGAGCCGGCGGGCTTTACGGCAAACGGCCCTCCGCGTCCTTAGCTAGCTGCTCCATTAACCGAAACGTGACTTAAATGGTGAATGAGAATGTGTTAAATGAGCTTTCTCTCTGCTGTGTGTGATAATTTAATGGGTTGCACCTGCAGCAGGGTGTAAAGCTCTAGGCATCCAGCCGGTAACGTTAGGGTTAGGTACGTAAATACCCCGCCTGTATTTATAACGCGAAGTAAAATCTGCTTACATCTCTGCACTGACAAGTTAATTAAGACAAAGCAAACTTTTGTTTGTAAAATATGTTAGTTTCTTGTTGATTCGTTAGCTAAATCACAATTACTATGCGTTACAAGAGACAATAACTGGAGATTCTTCTAATTTTGTAATTAATTTCATACACATTTCTGTTAATCGTGAAACGATTGCTGTTCTACGACGGTATACTCTACACAGTGGCTGTCAAAAGTGGAGAACAGGAGACGTTTCTGTAATATACAAAGTAGCAGCTTATCCGAATTCAAAGTTATTCAAACCTGAATAGATGTATTTTAATCATATTTCATCAGTGACCACGTTACAAAATAAATTGAAGAAACAGGAAATTTGAAGAAGGCATGCGATCAAAATTAGGGAATGATTTGTTAAACTTAACAGTCTTTGGATCTAATCTGAAATATATTGAAATATCTGGCAACCACAGTCTAATTGCAATATTGGTAGAGTTCAGATGAAGGCTGATGAGTTGACCCTCTTATACATATGACATGGTATGGTATGATAGGGAGACTCGTGGGGATCGGATCAACAGCTAGAATTGCTCGCTGGATATGTTCTGGGCAGGGCAATAACTTTTCTTGACAGGGTCTCGTCTGGGACACTATGAACTGAAAGCCCACTTTGCAGTGACCAAGGTACTTATCAGCAAGAAGAATGAAAAGGTCAGACTAGTCCTTTGCCGAGGAACACGTGTGGACAGAGGAGAACTGGTCAAAAGTTAATTTCAGAGAAAAGCAAGTTTAATTTAATAGGTTCAGATGGGAAACATTATTTGTGGTGTTGAATTGAGGAAAGACTCCACGAAAAGTGTTTGAAGAAGTCAGAGAAGTTGGGAGGGGTTAGTGTCATGGGTGGGGTATGTTCTCTGCAGCAGGAGTCAGGTCTCTCAAATTGCTACATGGTAAGATGAATGCTAACGAGTATCAGAACCTCCTTCAGCAACATGCGGATCCTTCACCACGAGCATTACCCAGTCATTTTTATCCAAGACGATGCCCCTTACCACACTTCAAAACGGGTGAAGCAATTCCACAAAGCTGAAAAGATCCAGGTGATGAAATGGCCCGGCCAGAACCCGGATCAGACAGAACCCTCTCAAGAAGCTATGGAAGGTAATTGGTGACAAAATCATGGCAAAGAAACCCACTACAGTTACCAAAGTGTGGAAGAAACTGGAAGACAAGTGGAACCAGATCAAGTCAGAGCAGTGTGCGACATTGGTTATGTGCTGTGGACACTTATGTTCCAGTCACTGGAAGCTCTACGCTTCCCATTCATTCCTGAAAGTCATAACCATCAAAGAAAAGTTGATAGAATTCATTTGTGTTGTTCTTCTACAAAAACAAATTAACGGTTCTCTAATTTTGGTCGTATGCCTTCTTGATATTTCTTGTTTAAACCATTTATTTTGTGATGTGGCACAACTCACTGATGAAATATGATTGGAAATATGATTGAAATACTAATATATATATATCTGTATCCATAATGACTATATTGTCACACCTGATGTCAGTATTTTGTGCATCCATCAAGATCATTTCTGTGCTGCTCCATCACGTTATAGGATGCTTTCCCATTTCCATCTGCTTTCTTTGGTGATTTTTGTGAAAACTAGTTTACAGTGTAAATATTGGACTCTGTTGATGGGTCTGGACATTTCAGTGGCAGGTCAGGTACGTTTAGTTTTACAGCTTGTTCACAGCCATCGTCATGCTGGATTGGGGCATCCTGATGTTGATGCTTCTAAGGGGTGCGACATGATTGGGTAAAATGTCTACAATGCATTCTGCCCAACAAAACATCTAGTAACTACACTGATGCTGAAACAGAAAACCTGTGTTTTGCTTTGGTTTTAGTGAGGATTTTGTTATTGTAATTTTCAAACTTTGTGTTCTTCAGAAAGGAACATAATTAAGCTAAGATATTTTGACATAAGATAAACAGCCTGGGAGACCCAATTTCTCATATAACTCAGTTTTGATAAAATATGCACTTACGGAGTTTTGCCTGTGTGGGGTGTATTATTCACTCAATTGCAGTGCAAATTTCCACAACTCAAAGGAAACCACTTCTGTATATTACTGTGGGTGGGCGGTATGGTGGTGCAGTGGTTAGTATTGCTGCTTCACATGGGATAGATATATCTCATTAAATACCTCAGTGTTTCTGCACAAAGCATGTTTATTAAACTCTATTTAATCACTTAACACACTGGTCTCAAACTCCAGTCCTGGGGGGCTGGAACCCTGTGTAGCTTAGCTCTTTCCCTTTTCCACCACAAGTGATTCAGCTTAAGAGCTGTGTGGTAATTAGCACAAGGAGTTGAATCAGGTGTGTTAAATGAGGGGAAACCCAAACATGTGCAGGGCTCTGGCCCCCCACGACTGGAGTTTGAGACGCCTGACTTAACAGTAAGATGGAGTCCTGATTAAAACGTTGTGTTCTTGCTATTGAGATACACCCAAAGATCATATTCGTGGTCTTGGCTAGAGCGGTCTTGCTAACTTGCCTCCCAAGAACGAACTTGAGATGCAACGACTTTTGGGATTTTTCTCATTTGGCCAGGATGCAGCCGACGGCGGGGGGGGGGGGGCAAGAACCACATCCGGGGATTTTAACTCTCCTCTGTGCTTCTGTTCTTGACATTGGAACTGGTCTTCGGCAATAGATGATAACTTAAAATCGGTACGTGAGAACACAAGTATGGTCAAGTACACATATTGTCACCCATTGTCTGTCCATCTGAAGTGCTAAACCATTTCAGGGCAGTTATGATGAGCTGTCAAGGAGATGCTGGGCTCTCGTGGTGATTATTGCCTCTTATCTTGACACCACTTCTCCTAATGAGCTTGGCAGCATGCAGAACCAGTCAGACCAGAGCTCTTATTTGAAGACCACAGTCTCTGGCTTATTCTGATAGATCCCCATACATTTCAAACGCCAGCTGGGGATTATAATTATACCAGCTTGTCTGTCTGAGGGTTTCCACCTAGTCCACGTGCCCAGAGCAGCTTCCTTAGGAAGCCCCCCGGTGGCTGCCCCCCCTCTGCCGACTCCCCCCACTTCAAAGGATGTGTCATCTGTCTGGAGGTCCCTCCTCACCCCACCATGGCTAGTGAGCCTGGATGTCCTGTTTTGATGTGTGGCTGTTTTTTGATTTTTCTGACGTGTTAAGTGTCCTCACGCACTTCCTCTGGCACACTGGGGACTGGCCCATAATGTTTTTCGGAGAGCAGACCAGTGGGTTCTGGCTGAGCCCCGGCCTTTGCAGTGGTTGCAGTGGTAGATTCACTGGCAGTTGTTGATCTCATTCATATCCCACAGAAACGGTAAACAGTTTTCAAACCTGTTATATACAGAAAGATCTTCTAGCCCCTTATCCTAGTCAGGACCATGAGGGTCCAAGAGTCTATCTCAGGCAGCACAAGGTACAAGGCCAGGGTACGTCACTGGAAGCCAGTTTATTATTGTTATTAATGCAGTGTAACTGTTTCAGTGAAAACTTTTTTTTATTTTATTTTACAGATGTTCTTCCTTTACGTGCAATATGACATGTATTACACTTAGCTACCTGAGTTGTTTCTGTTGCAGTGATTATTTTTTCCAGTTTTATACGTGACTAATGGGATTCACTGCAATATGTCCAATATGGCAGCCGGGTGGGAGAAGACGGCGGAGCCAACTGATCTGTATAAGCGATGGAGGCCACGGCGAGCTGCCCTCCCGAGGACTCAGAGGGGCTCGGAGCCGCCGGGGCCGCGGGCGGCACGGTGACGAAGGCGGACCAGCAGCTGCAGGAGGCCGTGCGGCTGAAGTCTGAGGGGAACGCATGTTACCGGGAGAAACGCATCCGCGCCGCCATTGGCCGCTACCACCGCGCCCTGCTGGTGCTGCGAAGCCTGGACTCTGCCGTGACGGCCACGCTGAAGGGTTTCAGCCCGCAGACGCCAGCCCTAACCCCCCAGCAGGAGGCGCTGCTGAGAAGCACACAGGTGGATTGTTACAACAATCTAGCAGGTAGCTCGCAGGAGGTCAGGGGGTCACAGGCAGCCTATTACACTGAAACGCCCTTTACATTATACACAGTTCATTCCTATATCCCCATTTGTACGAGTACAGGGACACTGGAATGCTTCTTTTCACATACACCAACATGCTCTCCTCTGTGACACACACACACATACAGTTTAGAGTGAAGCTTGGGGTCCGAGTGCAGGGTCAGCCATTTTTGGGGGCCCAGTGGAGATGTGGCTATTCTGCCGAGGATGGGATTCGAACCAGCAACCTTCCGATCACAGACATGGAGGCCTGAGCCACTTGGTCAATTTCATTTTTGGAAATCTACATATATTGTTGATTATAAAATGAACGGTAATCAAGACGGGACCTAGCAGGAGTAAAGAACTTGCAAAGTTAAGAGCATTAAATGTAATATTAACCCTCATCTCTTCTGATTACTCAGCCTGCCTGCTTCAGAGGGAGTGCGTCGATTACGCCCGGGTGCAAGAATATAGTCTGCGTGTACTGCAGTGGCGGCCGGGCGACGTCAAAGCATTGTACCGAGCGGGGATAGCCACTCTGGAGCTGGGTGATGCACACACTGCCCGGCAGTACCTCACAGAGGCCAGCAGAGGGCAGCCTAGCGGTGAGTCAGAGCCCCACAAGCGTGCCACTGCGCCTCTGCAGTGATGGCGTCATGCCACCGTTCTCTCTCCCGCTTCCAGATGCAAACGTGAAGCGGCACCTACAGCGAGCCGAAGAGAGGCTCAGCAGCGAGTATCAGCGGGAGAAAGCTCTGTACAAGGGCATGTTTGGCAAGCAGAAGGAGGACACTGGGGAGGGAGGGAGTGGTGTCACACTGAAGTAAGTATGATGTCATGACCCGAGGGGGGCGGGGCCTGTCCCAGAGCACATGCACTGAAAGTCACTGGCAGGTGGGGCTGAAATGCTGCCCAAAACAGGAACAGGATGTGAGGCTTTAGATTCTCCAGATATGTAAAAAAAATATATATACAGGAAGTGGACGGTACATTTAGGATGCACGAGCTGTCATGATGGACTGATACGTGGTAAAGCAAATCCTAAGTGTCTTATTTTGTTAAACATGATCTGTGGAAGATCCCCCATAACCACTGTCTGCGTATGCACCTAAGTGGTGTGTTTCCCGGACAAGCAGAATGTCTTTCAATTTGTTTCATATGCCTGAATAAATATTTTGGAGATACAAAGAACGCAGCAATTGGTTGGTTCCTGACACACTCACTCATAGATGCTTTCCAATTGAGTCCTTTTTCTGCTACTGTAACAGTAGAACAAGTAGAACAGTTGAACAAGAACAGCGAGATGTGTGACTGAGGCAAAAATTTAATCATCTTTTTCATATTACACTTAACAGAAAAAAGCCATAACTAAGCTACATCATAAATGGACTAAATGTTTACAGATACATTAATACAATGATCCGTAACACATTTGGCAATTAAAACATTTACTGAAATCGTAAATATGCTATAAGGTTCAGAATCACAGATAAAAAGTATTTCCAGGCTGTTTTAAAATAATTCTGAACAGGCAGTACATCTAACTTTCTTTAGTGGCAATAGCTTTTGTTTACTTCACCCCACAATAGATTTGTCACTGAATACAGGTATTGTATGTAAAGGGCAAAGTACATGGCTATAGAAAGGCAGAGACACACCCCACTGCAGAGAGCACGCATACACACACGCGCACACACCCATCTCCATGCAATAGTCCAGCCGAGAGACAATGGAAGGCGGCACGGTGCGGATGCTGAGCTGGCCGTGGTTTCCATCTCATCACAAGGCTGCAACCGAAGTCTGATACACCGGAATGATCCGGCCACTGGTGCGGGAATGCACTGCCCCGCACGTCATCCTGCTGTGATCGGAGCCTGCCTCACTTCCTCAGACTCTGAGTCTTAAAAGTGAACGGCTTCACCGAGCCAAACACCTTGCGGCCGAGGTCCCGGAAGGAGCGGGAACGTGTGAGCCGCGGGGGAGGTGGGGGCGGGGGCGACAGGGATGGGGAGGACAGGGGTGACAGCGATGGGCAGCTGCCCTCGGGACTCTGGGAGCGGGACAGGTGGAAGAGGCTGGCCGTGGAGGAGAGGCGCTCATCTTCACCGCCGCCGGCCACAGCCAGCGGCCTGCTCTGATCCAGGCTCAAGCCCACGGCACTGTGGCCCAGCCCGGCGCGGGCGATCTCCAGGGACGACACCCATTGCTGCCGGCGCTCCCTGGCATCACGCCGCTGAGGCCGCGCTTCCAGGAAGCCCTGGGAGCCGCAGCGGAAGAGGGGCCCGGCCAGCGGGAGGCCGGAGTCCGCCTGCCCCAGGGCCTCCCTCACCTGCCCCGCTTTCTTAGCGCTGGAGGGCTCCTCCATCTGCGCCTTCCGCCTCCCGCGATCCATCTCGCTGCCCCTCCACCTCTCCTTCTCCTTTCCCCCGAATAGTCCTTCCAGCCTCTTCCGGAAGCTGGCGCCCCTTTTGGCAGCCGCATCCTCCCCCGCCTCGTCCCACCGTCCAAAGCCCTCCCTGCGCACGAAGCCGGTCACCGTCGACGCCCTCACCAGCTCTCGGGAAGCGTGCTTACCCCGGTAAAGCCGCTCGCCGTCGCCCCCCCTCCAAGCCCCACCCCCCGAGCACCAGCCAGCCTCCTGCCTCAGGGAGCCGCCCCGAGGACGCAGGTCTCCTTCAGGCGGGGGGCCAGCGGCACGCAGGCGGGGCAGCGACGACTGCGTCGGGGAGCTGCGCTGGAACACAGAGAGAGGGGGCGGGGCGAAGAGGGCACGTGGCTGCGGCGGGGGCCGCCGCTCGGGGGCCGGGGCCTCACAGGGAGAACTGCGAGGGGAGGGAGATCTCTGGGGAGCGAGGGCTGACGGGTGGCAATCGAAGTGAGACGGGGAGTGGGCTGCGGGGACCAGGCCGAGGGCTCTGACTTCCTGGGGGGGACGGCTTTCTGGGGGGCACGGTGGGGCCACCTGGGCAGCTGGCTGCATCTCTGGTACAGAGGCAGAGTGATACTGAAGCTGGGGGGCCCACCAAGCGCTGGGCTGCTCAGGCTGGGACTTTGGCACATCCTGCGGCGGGCCAGGGTGCGAACAGGGCGCCGGGATTGAGACGGGGGAGCGGGAGGTAGCAGCGGGCGCAGGGCAGGGCTCGTCGCTCCTGAAGCAGTCGGCGTCCAGCTCCACCCCCTCCTCCAGGAGCCCGGCCACCACGGAGCGGGGAAGGCCCGACACACGGGCAATCTCGCAGACCCGCTCGGAGTCGGCGCAGATCTTGGGCGAGCTCTCGCAGATGCGGGCCTGACTCGCCGCCGCCTCCTCCTGAGAAATGCCGCTCCAGTCCAGTGAACGCGAGAAGCCCTGCGTGCCGAAGCCACGCCCCGCAATCTCCAGCGAGCCTCGATGGTTCACCGTCTGGGGACATGTCGAGATTCTTTTCCTGCCCCTCCAGGCAGATGCAGAGAACGAGGAAGATGGCGAGGGCGTCGGGGTGGGGGTGTCGTTGCCCAGATAGTCACACGAGCTGGTCGATCCCTTCCTGTCGTTGGAATCAATGTCAAGGGCGGTGTTCACGTTCAAATTGGGATTGAGGTTCAGATTGAGGTTGAGGTGGAGGTTCAGGTTCACTCCATCCCCGTTCAACGACGGCAGGTTGCCCAGATTGATGGAGTTCCGGCAGCTGCTTCCACCAGAGTTACCAAACAGGGATCGCCGCTGCGTGACGCCGGCGGCACTGTGGCTGTCAAAGGAGGCCAGCGATTGGCTGGAGCCGCGGCTGGGCCCTGTGTGCCACTTCCGAGAGCCCAGCCTGGAGACGGGCTCTACCGCGGACCTGGAGTGGTACCGGAGAACCAGCTTGGATATATACTGGTCGAGTCGGGCCATGTTGGGAGGCACTGGGTTTCGCAATTGGACAGGAGCTTCAGGTTGGGGTTGATCGGCCGAGGTCAAATCAGGGCAGGGGTCCGGGGTCGGTGCAGGCGCTGGGGGGTCCTGGCAGGAAGTGAAGAGGGGACTCTGGAGGGCCACGGCATGCAGGGGACTAGGGTAGGGGTATACCTCTTTGGTTTTCCTGGAAACCAAGTCGGAGCAGAATTTCGGGTCCAACTGGAGTCGAGAGAGTAAAGAAGCACCGGGGATGGACTGGGATGGGTCCTCTCCCAGAGCTGAACAGAAATCGGAGAGGAACAGGAGGCCGCTGATTTCCAAATCACCTGTGTCAGGGAGGAGAGAGGAGCAAAGAGCTAAGCTGTGGTATTATTTCACTGTCCAGCATAGGTCAGTATGAGTTAGGCTACTTTGGTCTACAGTTTTGTGTCAATTGCCTCAATCACTCCATTAAAATATTCTTAGAGAAAACTGTCAGCTAATTATCTGAACCGGAAAAAGAACAATGCTCTTGCCTGTAGAGAATGGCCTCCTTTCTCCCTTCTCCAACACTGCCTGTGTGCTCTGACCGGGGGGCTTTTTGGCATCCTGCCACTGGGAGGCACTGTGGTCTGCAGAATGAGGTCGACAGTCCCAGGGGCAGCAGCCCCCCCTACTGCCCACACATGTGCCGACTGCCCCCTGAGCACCGTCACTGCACACGGAGCAACAGGAGTCGGACAGGGAGCTCCCGCTGACTGAGTAGAAACCTACGGAGGGAGGGAGGGCAGGCAGGAATGGCATTGTAGCATCGGGGGCAGGGAGAGGGGCAGACAAAAGGTTAAGAACGCAAAGGGAGGAGAGAGAGAAAGAAGAGTTAGAACTTTTGTTGCACAGTGAGTCACCCATCAACTGGATAGGGTGTCTAAAGGCATGTTTTACTGCAGCTTAGTTTCTCTATTTCCGACAGCACGCTACGGGCTCTCGGGCCAAACCGGGCACAGAACCCAGCCCCAACAGATTGCCTGCTACCTGAACTGGGCCTGGAGTCACAGTCCAGCGGGTTAGCACATGCGGAGTCGGGGGTTGGGGTGGAGAGTGTCTCAGATGGCAAGTCCCAGGACAAAGCTGACCAATCCGCACTGGTCCCGATGCCGTCGAGGTAGGGGAGTACTGGCTTCAAGGGGGAAGTGGCCTGGAGAACGACAAACGAAAAAACGCTTCAGCTGTTGCAGTCCAGAGTCGTCATAGCACCGATTTCTGCAGTTCTTAGTTGCCTTGGTATCCGTGATGTAACAGCCTCCAAAACGGGCAGGTGACTCATCGATATACGGGCGCATATGCAAAACCATATCATGAGTGTATGAGTAACATGAGTTTCCTCAGGAGCTAATTTAGCTGCATGCTCCGACGTCCGTCTGCATCGTCACCTGGCATCAAAAGCTTCAATCAGCACAAATGCAGCCTCATTCTGTGCAGCCTGCATGCGTCCACAGTAATGAGGGCAAATGGCGTGGGGGACAACACAGGTGACTTGTGCCATTCCGGAAAAGGGGGGGGGGGGGTTAAGCAGACAGGACTGAAGGGGAAAAAATAAGTGGTGCAATTAAAGGGAAAGAAGGGCAGGAAGGGACTGGAGGAGAAGGGGGATTTTAACTATCTCCGCTCCACCTGTTAGAGCTTCACCCCCCCCCCTCCCCCTTTGATACCAGATGGAAGATGCAGGCACTGGGGGGTGGGAGAGAGTGCTGCTGGGGGAGGGGAGGCTCTGGCCGAAGTAACAGCAGGAAGAAAAGCAAGTCAAAGACCCCTGACTCCACCGTCTTCCTCCCCCACTGATCCGCAGTCACTCTCTTTCACTTGTCGCCCACACGCCAAAATTCTGTGCGGAGAGATGTACCAAAAGTACACTTTCACAGAGCGTGCGCTCTCCGGCGTGGACACACGAACACGCTGAGCAGTACACGCGCACACACACATCCGTCACCGCAGCCGCTCCACCCAGTTACGTAACGCAGGACGCATTCCTGCAATAAAATATTCATTACGCTTCATTTCATTATATTTAATGTGTTTCAACCGTGTACTTGTGTTTTACCGTCGAGGTCTGAGTGTCTCATGTTGATCTGAATTTGTTTCTGTGCTGATAACGACTATGACTAAATGTACCTTGCAGGCATTCCTCAGACAAACACAGTCATTTATATTTCAAAAAATAGATTTAGTAAGTATTAGAGAAGAAGCTTTCAGAAGAGACATGTTGATGGATGTGGTGTTAGACCCAACATGAACAAGCAGCAAGATGTTCTAAGTACCTTTTTCAAGCTGGGACCAGTCTCCGAAAGGGTGACTCTACGCCCAAAACGCTGAAACTGTAATGAACGATTATTGTGCCGTTTTTCCCTAAATCGGCTGCAGCTGTTCAATCTTTCTCCCACCCTGTGTACTCTGTGTACCATTAGTATGATGTCACGGAGGCCAACTCAACTCAAAAAGCACATCGATGAACAGTTGGATCATGAAATGTGCAATTGAGAGCCAATCGATCTCAGCTAAATAAGTAAAGTTTTAGACGAGAACAAACTGAATTCACCAACTGTCAGGAGCTGCTTCGTGACTTCCTGCTTGCAGGCAAAGGCAGGATTACTCATTTGGAGCAGCCGGTAAACACCAAATGTACTTCGGCTGACTGTTTCCGTGAGCTTTACACTTCACATTCAGCTCTGTTTGACTCACTACATTGCAGCTCCACATATTATGTTTGCATCCATTTCAAACGCTCATATGACCAGGGAAACCTGATTGGTCACGTTTTTAAATTGCAGGTGTCACACTGTGCAAATAAACAAGCTGTAAGTCATCGAAGAACCTGCATCTCATTTACATCACTGAATCTTTATTTTAAAGATATTCATTTATAATCAGAACTAAGCTATACAACTCAACAAAAAGCTTTCAGTACTTGAGGATGTCATCAAAAGTAAGGAGAAATTTCATGCATTACTCCAGATGTCTCTATGCAAACATGCAGATTATACATCTTTAGGAGTATTAAGGAGCTTAGATCTCCATCCAAACTTCTTTAAGCTAGAATGATATGGTATATATTGTCAAAAAAAAGTACAAATTTGTACCTTTGAGACTATTGCTTGTCACTGGGGTTGTATCCTCAAGGGTCTTGTACCCAGCTTTAGGTAAATGTACCTTTTAAGGTACAAAAATGGACTCGGCAACATTTTTGCCCATTAGAGGTACATTAATGTTGTTTGTACCTCGGGGTACAAATCTGTACTAGTGTTGTACCCTTTTTTATGATAATGCCGTTGTCCACAGCCACTCGCTTTTCTCAGTTTGTTTTCGGTTCCAGATATGCTTCAATTCTGCTTAAGTTAATAACAACAAAAAAGTTTAAAAAGAACAGCTCAGGGTTCATTAGCCTCTGCAGTTCCAACGTAGTAAACAGCTATGAGGAATAACTCGGGGAAAGAACGTTAAACAAAGGCATCAAACTCAAACACCCGGGCAGGTCCCACACAAAACCGGACTAATCAGCAAAAACTGCCGACAGATGCTTATTTGGTAGCTTCCCAGAGCAGTTACACCCCAATTAGAAACACATCACACTTACAGCCAGGGAGCCACCAGGTTCTAAATAATGCAATGACATCTCTCTGGGAACCATTTGGCAACGAAAGATTGTCCAAAATAGGCGACGACAGAAACTGATGCCGATGGGCAAAACATTTTCTCTCAGTCAAATGGTCTAGTCCCATGTTGCGTGGTAGATGTGTTTAGAACGTGTAACAAGGCCCTATCTGCGTGATTATCGTAGCATTTACACACGGGTCTCCCAGCTTAATGTTCTATTTGGTTCTTTGACCATTTTCATATAGTCCTTTTGAGATCACAGTTAAGTATGTAGCTAATGCCTTTGTTTGTGGAGCCTCTTATTCAGCAGGCATAAGCCTAAATACATACATGTGGTATTGACGTGCCACAGGGGTGTCAATGTGGATGCAGTGTAAACCGGAATCAGCCACTAATTATAATGCGCTTCCATCTGTCTGTTTTCCCGCAATGACAATATACAAACTCCACACACACGGAGCCATTGTGGAGAGTCAAACCCTGCTGTGAGGCAACAGTGCTAACCACTGGCCCACCCCCATTATAATATACTTAAATCTACTAATATACAACGCAAATGCTAAATGCGTGCCTTGCAGTATTGCACAATAGCATTAATCAGTCTGCTCGGTTCCGTGCAGCACAGGGAACACGTGGTATGTGGTGCTGCCCGGATTATTTATCACCTCACGGGCATATTGTAGAAACGTCAGGAAGTGCTCCAGAATTAAGCAGCTACTGCCAGGCATACCCTGGAAAAGGTATGTGTACAGGGATGTACCTGTTATCTCCAGTAAAAAAATATTGCAAATAGTGTCACTGCATGAATATGGATGGTTCACGATCTAAAGTTGTTTTGTAGACAAGTTTTAAAACACAGTTCAAAGCACCAGTGGACAAAAACATGTCTCAACCTGGGCTGCATTTCAGAAGAGAAAAACACTGTTTTGGTAAAGCAGTTTAATTATACACGGTGTTTAAGAACAGGGAGTGCAGAGTGTGATCACATGGAGGTGTGCAAGAAAGCAGAGTGACTGACTGAGTGTGTGTGTTAGTGAATGTGTGAGAGAGTGAATATGTGCGTGTGAATGTGTGAGAATGAGTGTGAGTGAATGAGTGTGTGTGAGAGAGAGTGTGAATGTGTATGTATGAGTGAGAGAGAGAGTGAATGAGTGTGTGTGTATGAGTGAGAGAGAGATGCCCCCTTTGTAGATGTAGCGATTTCTAAAATGCACCATTAGGTCAATATGTTTATTTTTTTAATGGATAACTGTCAGTGGTTGAGTTATTTTGGTTAATTTTTCATTTGTAACTTGCAACTTGTTTTGTTTGTGAATAAGACTAATGCCATGGACTTACATGTAACACCAAGGCGAGTTAAACCATTCCGAATCCTGACGGACATTAATAGCCTTTTTTTTATTACGGACATGGTATTTAAAAACGTAGCCTAGTTTTTTTTTCTCGATGAAAACATTTAGCCACAGACACGTCTGTCCACGTACGGACAGGTTCGCTATCCCTTTTTAACAATGAATAGTTTATTTAAATTACAATCGTCTTCATTAAAATCTGGTAATGCATGGATTTATGTATTTCATTATAGGCCTACATTTGTATCCTTTATGTATCTCATTTTACAAACTGCCATTGCCAACATTTATAAGGTTGTGGCCGTAATTATGCATTAGAATTCTTAATTTATGTGCAGGTATATCAATTCAGTTCAATAGGTAGATAATCTGCTGTTGGTTCGTCTTACCCCATTATTTTTATATGATGAGTTATTACCCGTGTAACCTCCCAACTCTTTGCGAGTTTGTGCTCAGTGATTCGTGGCGAAATGGCTGTTGAACGTCACCTTACTGTCACTCGTCATTCACACCCGCACACCGGGCTATCGGCCTGGAGGGTGAACCTGGGGACTCTCCACTCGCTAAGTGACGCTCTTCCCCGTTTCCTCCGGTTGTTGTGTAACGGGATCTCATGCAAAATCCGGATCGCGTTGGCGTGAAGTTGCCTGGTTTCGTTATATAACGGCGGCGAAGCGCCGAGACCAGAGGTACCCTGATAAAGGCGCTAAAAAAATCCATAAACATACAGAGACTTTTTTTTAGCTCCTGCTTTTTATACTGCCATCTTATGATACCTGCTCATTTTCTACCTGGCCTCCACCTTTAAAAAAGAATCAATAGCGACCCTTCTTACAGCTTTTCGAGGACAGTCAGCTTGGCGGTAGGATATTTCTGAAGCAATTCAGAGCACATGCGTATCACACAAATGAACCAAAATAATTAAAGCTGCGTTGGAGGTCTATGGATTAAGTGCATAGCACTTACTCTAGAATCAACATTTGGCTTCTTTTTTTTAGTTTTATGGCAATTCCGCACCGCCGTGGTCAGCGGGATACCAGTTCAGGACGGTGGCAGTTTGCAGCGCCACGTGGAACAAGTCAGCTCCTTCAACAGCAATGATGCTGAAGGGACAACAAAGGCTGCTGCAGTGATTTTACTAATGGGGAAGTGTGTCCTTACAACACTGCATGACTGATTTACGGTAGCACTATACATGCCACCCCCACTGAAAATATCCCATGACATAGGGCCCTATGCTATGCGCCATGGGATTTCGGAATCTGAGGTTGAATGCAAAGTTTTGACATTCCGCAACTGCTTTGAAAATTCTTACCGATGTACAGTTTTAACAAGAACGGCATGTTTACCCAGGGTGTCAGCCACGTCACGCAGTTCATGTGCCGTATTTCTGTAAGGCTACGGCATGGTACTTCTTATAGAACAGATTTGACTATCCCCATTAAAAGTTGAACGGTCAAATTCCACTGCACAGGCCTATAGGGTCAACATGGGACCAAGCCGCATTTTACAAAATGTGTGTTATATAACCTGGCATAAAACAGAACTAGTCTAAAGATCTTCGGGATTATGAAATTCCGTCTGCTCAAATGAACGGGATTCAAAATAATTCAAAACACAAAAGGCCTACATCGGCAATAAATCACTAAACACCAAGGTGTCCCGTAACTTCACTGTCATCAAAACAGTTCAAGAAGTGTCAGCTGGAGTCACACGTGTAAAAACACTGCAGCACTTCTGCTGGAAGCCTGAACAAACACCCCGATTCTTCAAAAGCCATATAAATTATAGCAAAGGAATGCAACTGATACATTTTACACAATACACTATATATCCATCATCATGATACACCAGACTCCCTTATTTTTCCGAAATTACATTACCCAACAATGTATGTTTTGTGTGCTATACATGTATAAAAAATACATTTTGAAATCACGCGGTTTGCAATAAAATAAAATTTAAAACAGCAGAATTCCGCGTGTGGATGTGCGCATCCCTGTAAAAGATGACGTACCGCAGCGCGTGCTACCCTGGGTGCCTCCGCTGGGTATGAAGCGCTGCTGTGCATCGGGGTTTTTTTCTGGCTCCCTTTTGACTTGTTTGATTGAATCAAGCGCCAGAATAATACAGACAACGGGTGTTCAGATACGACGAGCGATCTGTTCTGCTTCATGCATTGGAAAATACTTAACGGATCTTAACTAATCACCAAGGGGACTGTCGTTTACTAGTAGCAGGTATCACGCGGTTTGACAGTGTCAGTCGTATTACACTGGGTTTAGTTATGCCCATCGGGGTGAAGCCTACTTGGTATTCACGTTGTCATTGCAGTGCTGCATGGCTCTGCGTCTGTCTAATTCACATAAAATGCGTACAGTTGGCAGCCTTCAGTCATTATACCCAGTTACCGTTTACGGACCCTTCTGAGCACCCAGTTACCGTTTACGGACCCCTCTGAACACGTTCACATGTTCGATTAGCGGACACCGCACGCCATCATTTTCCAGATGCATCCTCCCACTGACCTGTTGCCTGCGGGAACTTGACACGCCATCGGCGGCGACAGCGTCGCCTGGTCCTCGCCGCCCGGAGCCGGACGCGTCGGCAGCCGCTCTCCGACCGAGCACCGCCTCCACCATCTCCCAGTGCCGGCACCGGAGGAGGTCCAACTCCACGATGCCGGCCAAGCTCGCCTTCAGTCGCTCTCCGATCCGGACCCGCTCGCTGCCGGACCACAGCGAGGTCACGCAGCCGCGGCGACCGGCCATTACGAACCAATGTCCGGGTTGAAGGTGCACCACTAAAGCCCGGTTTACGGGAACTCAAGTGCGATGGATTGGCTCCAGGAAAGCATCACCCCATGAAGCGTATCACACCTCTGTCACGGCGGCTACAGTCCGTACGTTTAGCCCAATTTGCCTGGTAGTAGCTAGACGCGCACACTAGCCCTGTATTAACACTCCATCGGAATAGCCTGCCGGCTAACTTTCTGTACACTGGAGCTCCAAAGCAAACCAGCAAATCAAATCACTTGTTTTTTTTTCCTGAAACAATGAAGAGTTATTAGTACGATCTTTATTCTGCTGATCTTGTCTCTTCAGTACCGGTCAGCATTCCCATTGATATACGGCCAGATTTCTTTTTTCCTCCTAAACGGCATGGTTAGCCTCCGCTTCCTGCAGTTCTCCGCTTCCACTGCAAGGATCCAGATAACAAAGCGAGTCGCGTCGTTACACATTTCGGGGGAAAGAAGCGTATAGGGGAGGGGCAGCAGCGCCGCTGGCCGGTGTGATTGGCTGTGAAAGGTTTCGAAAAAAAAGCATTTCCCACTTTTTATTTCACATAGGACAATTTTAGACTTATACCCATAATAAACGTAGAAAGAAATATAAAGTTTGCTTGCAACCCATAGGAGCATTAATTACCTTTATAGAATTTAAATATGTGGGGAATAGTGTTAGTGTTGCAGTTCAGTGACTGATCACTTTTGAGACTGTCGGCTATTCCTTCATCACGCAGGACACCTGTCCACCTCGTGTCATTTTACAGCTACCCCCCCTCCCCCCTAAACCCAATAAAACCTGGCTTTGATCACCAGGGAGCAGCGACGATAGCCAGTGCCTATCAGCATTACACACTCATTATCTGAGAACACACTCCCAACACACAAAGAAGCATTATTACAAGAAATGGGCAGCGGAGGGACACGCGAAACTACTAAATAGCTGCGGCTTCTCACTATCTCTGAGAATATTGCGTAATGCCATCAACGTAAAGCGATTAATCGTACTTATCTGCATTACTACCTGCAGATATTTGTGAAACGGCATTTTATTATCTTATTTTGTACTTTGTGGTTGGTTAAACGCTCATGCCAATTTTCTGATACAGATCAATGAAAAAATCATATCTTACAATACATTTTAAAAGACTAGGAGTTTTGAAGTAGGCCTAAAAGTTTAAATTTCTCGATAAAAATTGGGTTCCTGTAAGTTACTGAGTTACATGATTTTATATGATTGTGATTAAACTGTCACGTTACTATGAGAACCAAAATCACTGGAGGGTCCTTTCGGATACCTTTACATTTACGGAATTTAGCAGACAACCTTAGCCAGAGCTACTTACATAAGTGATACACCCCCACTCTCACACCGCATATCCTTGTCGGGTCACGGGGAGCCTGTATTTAAAATGATGTAGTATTTTAAATGTTGCATGAGCCGTTGTGACCCACCAGGGGGCGCTCCAGGAGAAAACTCCTAGATCGGCCGTTTTTACTCTGAGATGCTATGAAGAAGTAAATGTATTTTCTGCTGTTATTAAAGAAGTAGCCTATTATTGAAAACCCTCCATTCATTTTTTTCTTATCCGCTTCACAAACTTAAGCATACAATGTAAAGGGAGGATTGTTATCTTAACATATATTAAGTATTAGTAATGTGTAAAGCAAGGAGATTAGCTAGAAATTCTGGGCCCCCTGACAAAATGTCACCTCCTTCCCCACTTCAGAGTGGAATTTGGGCCCCCTGTAAAATGTTGGGCCCCGAATCTACCAGCATCCATGCCTCTCCAACACCCCTGGTGTAAAGTATATCGAGTCTTAATTAAGTGATGCTGTCTTCTGAAAGCAAAAACTTAAAGGTTAGAGAATATTGACATAGGCTGTTCTTATGTTTGTTCCTGTTGTTAATCATCAAAAGCAGGTCATATTTAATTTAAAATGATCATGTAAATACAGTCAGTTGCAGAACAATTAATATTAGAAAAGGAACTAATTACACCTTTTCAGAAATACACATTAACAGTCATTAACCAGAAGTCATTTGGTTTTATGAAATTAATTTCTGCGGTTGTCTTTCCTAATCAACAACACTACCACAGCGTAGGCCTACCGCAAAACACGTGAGAGACTGAATTTAAAGAAATGGAACCTGAAATATTGACTTTCATCCGGCATCATGTTTCATTAGACTTTTATAATGATTTAAAATGCATTACTTTGGCACAATCCTCAAAAAAATCATAATGATCCTTAAAGAGGTGATGTTCAATAACATGGTTGATGTGATAAGTTTTAAAGTCTCAATATTATTACCTGCGATCATTCTATCTTTAAGGTGACGGGCATTAATAACTCGTATTTCTGAAAATCACATAAAGTGATTAATTAGGAATTTATGTCTACTTATCTATTTTTCGCCTAGCAAGGGTCTTGATTTTACAGGGCTTTGATTTTACATGCATGCTGACTCGGGCCTCCTTATTTTCACACCCCCACCTCCCCAAAAAGGCTGGTCTATAAATGGGAGCCGTACAACTTCAGACTTCCACCCGAAGGAGCGCCCAGTCACCAACGGGGAAACACTTTGTCGCCCCCCCCCCCTCCCCCTCCAAAGGCTAGTCATATCACTTCACTGATTTTGACACGTTACCACAAGTAAACATGCCTCCCTTCGAGAAGTCACAAGAACTGAAGCCCTTCAAACAGAGGAAATGCCTCGGTAAGTATCCACTTCATACTGTTTATTTGCCGAATGCAGACACTGCGCGCGTCCCCGACGACAGTCTGCGTTGTACGAAACTTACGTGACCTGCAGCTGATTCTGTGACAACGTGCTTAATGTAGCGCTTATCAGCGGCGTTGACGTGGTAACAGGCACAAATAACTGCCTTTATGAGAATAAGTTAATGGGCATTACATTAATTTAATTTAATTAACATTTCCTTTAATTAAGGTTTTGGTGTTTCTTCTAGCTACAAGAAAGGATGAGGTGTGCAGTATTCGCTCCAAATTCCCAAACAAATTACCCGTACGTTTATTTAATTCATATTCCTTCTTTCTGTCATTTATTGCCAATTTACAGCTTATTGTTTTATCTTGCTTATTTACTATACATTGGGTATAATCTTAAAACAGCAATATGAAAAATATGCATGCAACAAGTAAACGGAATTGTAATTGATTCCGTATTTATTTTGCAGTATGTAATTGTGCACTTTCATATTATTATTTCATCCAGGTTATTGTGGAGCGGTATGTTCGTGAGAAGCACCTTCCACTGCTGGATAAAACCAAATTTCTTGTTCCATTTGAACTCACTATGGGTCAGTTCCTCAGTCTGCTCAGGTACGGTAACTGCGCTCCTGTAACATGCATGTCAATGCACGTGTGTATGTTCTTTAACCAGCGATTTCCCTTAATATGAGTTTCGGGAGCACTATAGTGACACACCTCATCTTCCACTTTATCTATTTTAGCATTTTAATCCTCATCACTTGGTTGGCTAATCCCATCTGTTTGTTCCCTCTTTTGATTAACAATTTTATGTTCACATATTTGTCTCGTTTAGATTTATAAAAATGGTGCCTTGGAATTCTGAAATTTATTTTATGCATTTCATTGCAAACGAGTTGCTGCATTATGAACATGTTTTTTTCCAGTAAATAATGTTTTGTTTTGTTTTATCTGTGCTGGGTGGTGACTGTAGATCAGTAGTAATTAGCAGGCGTCACTGGGACTTGACCTTATTTTATTCTCCTTTTCCTACAGGAGTAAAATTGACCTAAGCCCCACACAGACTCTATACCTGATGCTGTCGGACCACAGCATGTCCTGCATGTCTGCCAGCATGGGGGAGATCTACACCCAGTACAGGGACCCCGACGGTTTCCTCTACATAACCTACACGTCCCAGGACATGTTCGGAGGAGGGGCAGCATTGGCCCCTCCCTGCTGACATTCATGAAATGATCCAGCCTCAAGCACAGGGAGTAAACATATGATGTGGCCCCGTCCCACTGCTCTTTGAGTCACCAGCAGGGCTGTGTTCCTAAATGTTGCTCAGATGAGGACAATGTGTGGACGGCTCGCGTGGTCTGCAGGACACTGTGCCTGAATCCCGTTAAACTGCATGCGGAAATCCATCTTCACTCTGTGTCTAGTTCACAGTCAGCCATTCCTCAGTAACTATAAAGGTCTTTTCTGCACATTATAAAGTTTTTGGACACCCATCGTATTGCTGTACAGCCAGGTGTCATATTTATAGGTATTTAAAAATCCAAATAAATGTTTCGACCTTTTAAGAACTTGTTTTTATTGTCCTTAATATCTTTCAAGGACCGTTTTCAAGAGAGTGTAACTATAGAATTCCACGCATCATCACACAGAAAAATAAGAAAAGTGACACTAGACTCTAGCCATTAAACTGCTCGTTATTAAATCAGCAGAGTCATCATAGTATGGCACCCTACTAATGAAAATCGGAATATATAATCAAGGTAGCCTGTACACCAGAGGTCACTGACCTGTTTGAAACTGAGAGCTACTTCATGGGTACTGAGCCATACGAAGGGCTGCCAGTTTGATACACTCTTCTTAAATCAGGTATAATAAACATGTTTTAAATGCTTTTTTTTTTTAGATATTGTCACTTTCAAATCTATATAAATCCAAAGAAGAATAGCAACAGGGTAAAATTAAATTTTAGATGCTGCCCACTGGTGAGTTGTGCTATTTTTAGAACAGGTCCACGGGCGACTCACGTGGCCCTTGGGGGCGACTCACGTGGTCCTTGGGGGCGACTCACGTGGCCCTTGGGGGCGACTCATGGTCCTTGGGGGCATCCTTTCATCCTTTTTGGGGGCGGAGTTGCCTCTTCCCCCCATGTCATGCAGGTTTGCTGCAGGTACTCTGGCTTTCAGTCCAAAGACATGTAGTTAGGCTAATTGGTGCATGTAAGTCGCCCGTAGTATATGAGCAGGTATAGGTGCCCTGTGATGGACTGACATCCAGAGCGTAGCCCAGCCAAATGCCCTGTGTTAACATAAGAACATAAGAAATTTACAAACGAGAGGAGGCCATTCGGCCCATCAAGCTCATTTAGGGAGAACTTAACTAATAGCTCAGAGTTGTTAAAATCTTATCTAGCTCTGATTTAAAGGAACCCAGGGTTTTAGCTTCCGCTACACTAGCAGGAAGACTATTCCATACTCTAACTACACGCTGCGTGAAGAAGTGTTTCCTCACTTGCTTTGGATAGGCTTCAAGAAGCAGGTCAGAAAATGGATGTATGGCTGGTATTCTGTGTACATGCCCCCTATATAAGCCTTATTTGGCTCCTACCTCCAGGGCTGTGGGTTTAAATCGCAGCCCTGCCCTCTGTATGGACTTTACATGCTCTCTCCTCATTGTGTGGGTTTCCCCAAGTGCGAAGTCCTGCAGATTTCCCAATAGCAAGAGCACAAAGGTCTTACTTG